ATCGGGAACTCAGGTGCCGTTTCGCTGCTATACAAACGGTTACAGAAAACGCCGGCTTCGTTTCATGGGACGGTTAATGCATTAGCATAAACACGGCACAGTTCCAGAAGTCTCTATATTGGTAGAGCTTTTTTTTTTCTGATAGCGTGACAGATAATGTAAGCCATGCGCTCGCCTGGGCTTTTTCATATGGTCCAAAACTACCTGTATTTCAGCTAATATAACATCATTTGACTGTGCCCGCACGAATTCACAAAAAAAGATCGATTAAAAAATGTTTGCCAGTCTGGAGAGAATTAGGTAAAAAAATAAAACAGCGTTTCCTCCGGTTAGTTTCTATCCAAGTGTGCCCAGATAAATGTACTAGTTTTGTATTTACAAATATAACTTTAGTACTGTCTGCAAGTACACTTTTTGCACACTTGGAGTACACTTGCAGTAAGCTGCACTACTAAAAATATACCTTTATACTTTAAGTGTATTCATTTTTAACGAGGATAGTGAGAGGACTGAGCGGACTAGTTCAGCGGAAAAGAGTGTAAAGTAGGCATAAAGGGAAATGTGGAAGGAAAAAATGCACGAAATTGCAGCTTTAGCATTATACAAGTCAAGAAAACAAAACATACCAAAAGAACAGGCGTTTGACAATTCACAGGGAAGCTCTTTGCAGTACACTGCATATACTGGCCATAATATCATGATTAGGGTGACCAGACGTCCTGTTTTGGCCGGGACAACCGCGTTTTTCAGGTCCGCTTTTGCCATCCCGTCTTGTTGTCCCAATAATGAATCATGTCCCGTTTTCGAATCCCGGAGAAAAACTTACCGGAGAAAAGCTCACCGGAGATAAGCTCACCAGAGAAAAGCTCACCGCAAAACCGGCGGAAGCGGAGAAAAGCTCACCGGCTATTGAGCGTATGCGGAGAAAAGCTGACCAATTTTTTTACTTCTTTTTATAGAGGCTGTTGGATCTCGCGTAACATATGTCAATTTATTATCATTAAAATTCGTCGGCTTTGTAAAAAAGAAAAGGGCATTTTGTAATATTTTTAAGCTTATTGGGTATATTGCTCCCAAATCAATAATTGCGGGTGAATGTTTTTTGTGGCTCACTCTCTAAGCAACGAAAGCCTAACTGAAAACTTCATGAACTTGAAGAACAGGAAAAAGTTCGAAAACTTAATAATGTCTGCCTAAAACCTAAAAATCCAAACTGTAAATGCCGAATATCCGAAAGTGCATGCGCAACAACGCGGTGCCTGAAATTCTCTTTGAAGCTTTTGTTAACCTTTGAAAACATAAAACAGTCAGTAGGATATCGAGGCTTCTTTCTTCCGCGGACATGCACGTTTTCTAGCTGTTCGTGCTGGTGTTTCAACGCGTTGTCTTTGTGTGTTAGTGCCCTTCTATGGCGAGCCACCCATGACCGTCAGAGCTGCACACTGGCACCGTTGTTACTCGTGACCTGTATAAGAAGTGGTCTTCTTTAAGGTAGAGAATAGGGCGAGCTGGGTAAAGGTCATGCATGATGAAAACCGCTCAAACGACGACTAAGGAGTGAAGACAACAAACAGGACAGGACGAAGCTGTTCTAGCAACTAAAGTTTTGTTAGGGAAATTAACAGAAAGAAAACAGCGTAGCTGACACTGATTGCATCAAGAAACACCTACTTATCTATTAGGCACTACAGAATATTTGAAGATGAAATGGTTCGCACACCGCTATTCATATAAGCTCGCAAAAAAAAAAAAACTCTTTATTTGACAGAGCTACTGACGTCGCACTGTCAGCTGTCAATAAAGCTTTGCCTTTTTTTTTTTTTTTACCGATGTACGATGTTCTGATTTTGTACTTGCGGCTTCATTAATATACGAAATGGATGATTACAAATTTCTGAGGAATTATTAAATATGCCCAATGAACGTCAAAAGTGTTACAAAAAGAGGACATATTTTTAATGAAGTGACGAATGCGAATTGTGTTAGATTGCCACGTTTGACGCAGGATCCTCTAAGTTAAAAAAAAATCGGTAAGCTTCTTCCGCATCCGCTTAAAGGCCGGTGAGCTTTTCTCTGCATCTGCCGGCTTTGCGGTGAGCTTTTCTCCGGTGAGCTTATCTCCGGTGAGCTTTTCTCCGCCGCCCCCCGTTTTCGTAGGAGTGCATAGTTTCGAAATTGGCACTAACTGAATTGAAGCAAACCGAAGATATGTATACTCGTTACAAGTATATTTTAGAAAAATAACCGTAGGTACTTTAAAATATTTATTCATATATATATACCGGGTGTTTCTGCGAAGACTTTTAAAAATCCTAAAAATTAAAGCGTCAAAAAAAAAAACTTTCTTCGGGAACAAACTACCAGCCACGGCGGACGTCAGGAATTGCGAAAAACATAGTAATTAGCCAACTAATTAATTAAAATTTGTTAATTAACTTTTTAATTAGTGGAAATAGACATATGGTTCTAATAGACCGATCTCACGAGGAGTTGCGCGACGCCACCGCTGCCGCGGTGCATTCTGGTACCTGTAGTTCTCCCCAGTTTTCCGGCCGCGTCGGCGCGCATTGTACGCCCGGCGTTTGGAAATTTTCGGGTTAGCACGAGACTTTTAGCCAGGGGTTGACTCTTGGTTTTCAATCGGTGGCTTCACATGTTGTATGCCACGGAGCTATAGTAACAGCACCAGGCAAAAAGGCCACGGATATTATGTCTTCCCGCAAGAAAGAAGCATGGCAAAGAAAGGTCGACAGAGCCGGACAGAGCGGCAGGAAAAATAGCGTTTTACAATTTGTTTCGCGATTTGCTTCATAATTTATATCCAATTATTGCACGTCAGCTAAAATATGTAAGATTCCAGGGCACGAGATATAGAGCATGCCGAAGTGTTCCGTAAGCTGGAATCCCTCTGACCATTTGCTCCGTAGCGGCCTATTCGTTGGTCTATCTCAAATAGGACCTCCGCACTGCTTTGCTGAGGCCGTTTTTAATACACTTCTTACTCGGTGTATTTTGGTGGTTATAACTGTTATTGCGACGACATGTTTCAAGCACAACTGTGCTGCAAAAGATCAGGATAATCCCTACAAAAGAGCAGCGATTCCCCATATGCACCACTTGATATAAAACAACTTTTTTTCGGATGCAGCCTTCATTTTTTTTTCCCATACCAACGCGAAAAGATTACATAATGCAATTTAGAAGTGCAACACTTACTTACCGCCAAAAATGTAACAAACGAACCTCATCCATTTTGTGGTGGTCTATTAGGCTGGTGTCACTGGTCCATTCTGCACTAGCACCAGTCGAGACCGCAGAAAAAGCTTCCCCCGTCGGGCGACTGTTAGCGTTTGGATCTTGCGCAAACAAAATAAAACTGAATAGAAACTGTGCACGAAAAATCATCTCCACCCCAAGCTTTCAGGTATCTGGCATGGTTGCTTCTTTTTGATAGATGCCAATTATTACGGCGCGTCAGGCATGGCCTTTCTGTAGATCAGTTCTTTGTGTGCAGGCTTCTCCCGCTGTTCATCTGTACTCTTTCGCACAGGCTGTCAACCAGAATGAAACAACTTTTAGAAAACTGTCCCTGACCGAGAAAGTCTATTTAACCTCCTCTTAGTTGATGGCTGATTAAACGTTATTCACAAGACTGAGCACCACCAAGCTCAGTTTTTCTTCACATTTGGTGCTGTTCCGTGGTGCTACACCGAGCCGATGGTCCCTCGAATTTTCTTGCTCTTTGCTATTGCACTAGATGTTCACTTATTTGCAAGGTAATTGAGACGTCCGAGGACTCGGAATGCTCGAGTAGTCTTTTTTTTTTTTTTTCCGCGGTCGCAGTGGGATTACCCCGTGAACGGCAGTGGGCTCACGCGTTCACGAAGGCGAAGAAGCAGACGACGACGAAGCAGACAACAAGGCGATTCTAAAGCGATAAGACGACTGAAACTGCTTTTCTGCACTTGCTGTGGAAAGTAAGGCATCACAAACAACACTATCTTATGAAGTAAAAGCATGCAAGAGAATCAAGGTGATACCGGGGCGTGCCAAATGATAATCTATGATGATGTACGCACACGCAGCCATATCTAGCCGGGAAGCCGGGAAGGGATGACTACAAGTAGCATGGCGGCGGCACCACTTCCGTAATGCGCGCGCCTGCGCAGTTCGCTTGGTGACATCGGTCTATTAGAAAGTTGCTGAGCGTTATCGAAAACCACTAAATCAGTCATTTTCAAAAAGACTTTCGGCGCGTGAGAAGCGTAGTATTGTACTAAAGTTACCACTCGTGGAGCAAGTACAAGGCTGGGGCTAGATAAGAGACGGAAAAATCGCGCGGGCGCCTTATCGCAACCGCTAGCTTTGTACCTGCTCAAAGAGCGGTAACTTTAGTGCACTACTACGCTTCTCACGCGCTCAAAGTCTTTCTGAAAACGACTGATTTAGTGGTTTTCAATAACGCTCAGCAACTTTCTAATTGGAACCATATGTCTGTTTCCCCTAATTAAAAAGTTAATTAACAAGTTTTAATTAATTAGCTGGCTAATTAGTATGTTTTCGGCAATCCCTGACGTCCGCCGTGGCTGGTAGTTTGTTCCCGAAGACAATTTCTTCTTTTTTCAAACGCCCTAATTTTTAGGATTTCTGAAAGTCTTCGCAAAAACACCCGGTATATATATACGGTGATGGTGGAGGGAGGTCGAAGGCGTGGGTATATAACTGGGAAGAAAAACTCTTGGTGAAAACAGCAACAACGGACGATTTATTCTTCGACGTTTCGGCCGGAGTCCGGCCTTCGTCAGGAAGAACTTTTACAGATGAACGCGGGTGGTATTTATACAATGCTACGGTCGAGTCTGAACACAACGGGTATAATTCAAATTTCGTCGAAGTATCCCTTTAATATACAAGTACTACACTTCCTAACGTGTGTCTTAAAATTCGATTCATTGCCCTTCTTGTCTAACATGTGTTGTTCATTCTATTTTCAGTTGCGTGAAATGAAGGTGAACGGTGGATTCCCACTTTGGATTAAAAGCGACAGCGATCTCAATGAATATTATAACAACGTAAGTAAACACGCATTGACCGTAATGAATATTTGCGCGTAAATTATAGAGACAATTAAACCTACAGGCCTTTATATTTTAAGAATAATTTCAAATGTCGAGAACCGTACACAGGCAGCTCAATAAATTAAGCTATTATCGGCTGTGTTCTTGCTAAATGACACTAACCATAATATTACTCCTCAACACGATATTTATAACTGTAAACTATTTTTTTTTCGCGGGATAAGTCTCTACCGGTCACAAAAGTTGGCTGTTGAGAATGTTAGGCATTGAAGCTGTTACCACGGAGTGATATATATCCGTGATCAATTAGCTCATTGGAAAATTGAGAAATTTGCAGAATTTTTCACATGAAACATACTATCGCAATGAAACATACGTTTACAGGGAGTTTTAGAATAACGTACGCAATTTTAGCGCACGCTGGCGTTACATTTAAGGCTCTGTTATACTCCGACGTAACGCGTGCCCGTGTGCGAGCGCGTCACAACGGCGTCACGTCGGCGAAAACCCGACGCTCTATAGACCTTTCCAGCGGCAGTCTCGAACGAAGCGATTTACAGCGCGCGTCCTAGGTTTTCAGAGTGTACGTCAGTGTTGCCCGACTGCGCTGAGCTGTGGAGTTTCTCGTCCGTGAGCTGTGGCAGCCTGCGTAGGCGCAATTCCGGACGCTGGCAGCGGCTGAATTGCCGCGTTTTCTTTTTTATTTTGTGTTCTGTGGCGAACATAATTTATAGAGGTATTTAGAAAGCAGTGCTCTATTTTTGGGAACAAAAACAAAGAAATGAAAGCTGTTTTGGTGAGTCCGTGCGCGACAAAACAAATGCAACTGGAATGTTTGTTTCATTTTATGTTCATCGTTTTACGGAACCTTACACTCAGACTTGCCAATCTATATAGGTCAAAATATTTGACCACACAATATATCCGAACTGCATGGATATTCCCCGCCCACAACCTGAAATTCAATGAGTCTCATCAATCGAACAACATATATTGTACGTACCCCACGGTGCCGCGTTATCCGAACAGGATTTGAGAAAGTTCTCATATAACACAGCGTATATAATATACAGTGTCGACGATAGTCACTTCACGACAATCGGACGGAATCCGGCGTGTTTTGGGGAACATGTAGAAGAGAGCAGCTGTTTTGCACAGCTTCAAAGCAAATGAACGAACGTGTCTATTCTGTCCCCACATCCCGGACGCGACCCTATCAGCTATTTTTCGCGAAGACCCGGAACACACCCGGGAACGCTTTTTGGAGATTATCTGAACGGAAATAATCCTCCAAGCACGTCGAACTGCCTGCGTCGCGGGCTGCTTGACGTTCGCTCTCTTCGTTCTTTTCCTGTGAAGGCCAAGCAGGCTACGAGCCCTGGTATTCCCTGGTTCTCACAGTGGAAGATAACATACGAAGGGTAAGCATCCTAAACAGGCGAATAAAGTAAAAACTTCCAAGAAAAGCCGGCGAACTCCAAATGCAAAATGCAGGTGGGGAGTCACGCTGACTGGGTTTCCACAGCTCAGGCGGGCGCCAGAAATTTCTTGCTGATAGGGGTCGCTCGATTCGCACAATGGCGGCGGCCGGAGCGCTCTTTTTAAAAAGGTCTATACTCGGGCGTCGTGGCGTAACCGACGCGACCGGCGGCGTTCGACGCAGCCTGGCCGCCTCGACGCCAAAATGGAGCATGCCGTATTCCGCGCCGGCCGCGCCGGACCAGGATGCATCACGCGCTGCCTCCCGGCAGCCCTCGCGCGGGAAGCGCGGCGAATACGAGCAATAGCAGACGACAGGAGCACCACTCCGTGTGGCGTCATGTTTGAAGAATCGGACTGGGTCGGTCGAGAAGATGATCGAGGGAATTCTTCCTCACCCGTGTGTCTACAACACGAGGAAGCTTGAGTACCGTAGACCGGGCGCTTAGCAACTGTACATTGACCGCCTACGCTTGCGGTGCAGGCGAAGCACCAACAGTGCAAGCGCGAGTTTTCGTCGTGCAAGGTACGTCCACGCCATCGCTCGAACTTGGGGCACAAGAAGCGCGAGAATCTGAGGCCAGATTCATAAAAAACCTCTTACCTACGACAACTTAGCTACGAAGTTCGTAAAGTTACGATCATCGTAAGATGAGGCGAGAACGGTATTCACAAACGCGTTCTTAAGTGAGAGGAGGAAAGTTACGACCTCTTACGGAGAAACGATGACTTCCGGTGCTGTTGCTATGGCAACGGCGTCTTCGGCAAAACGAACAACCAATTAGAGAGCTAGGCATAGTTCGGAGCACGTGGATTTTTAATAACAAACACAGGCTAACCGCTTGTTGATAGACAGCTGTGTGTATGTCCTGTCCTGTCTGTGTAAATGTTTAGTGTTCAAGCTGATTCTCATAAACACGGGCGGCCTTTCCACCACCGCTTGTCTGGGGTTCGTGTCCGTGCAGTGGTATATCGACGCTAACACGATATAAAAGCTTCGTTGACTGCTACAAACTCAATCGCTACGAAGTCAACACAACTGTCATCGTTGGTAAAAGCCCCGTTCCAGTCGTTTGCAAAGCGACGTAGATGGAAACAAACCGCCGCGGCGTTTCTCGCGGCCTCGGAAATGCAGGAGTGAGCCGACGTTAAAAAAGATACGTTTGAACTACGAGAGCGTCAGCAAAGAGTCGCGCAAATACCTGTTCACACTCGGAGCGGACGCGTGCGTTTGATCGAAGTGCTGGATTCAGACTGCGTTTCGGTAAGCGCTTCGGGACCGATCTTCTACGATTGCAACTCGATACTGACGTGACACTCGGCAAAGAAATGTTGGACCGACATCGCGTAGCTCCCACAAACTGATATAGCTCGACAGTTAAAAATGGCATACTAATAACAAAGTGTACCTACCGTGTTGCGAAGGTAATCCATACGGCGTTTATTTGAGCTCTATATCACACAAAACAAGGAGATAGAATCGAGGAGTTCCTTTTCGACGACAGCGTTCGTCACCGCTGCCTCGGAAAACAAGGTGATCGAGATGATAAGGGGAATCGGTTGACCTCTGAAATTTAGTTCAGCTATCAGACTATTCATACGGGGAGGGTCCACAAGGGTCGCGCGGGCATATTCCATTCAGCAAGCCAGCCGGTCGTGGGCAGACGGTCTTGGCCAAGGACCGTCTGAGCAATGCTGCGCCGGAACGGGTCGGAGTGCCTGCTAGGCCTATATATTCTGCCGAGCTCGCTTGGTCGGTGGGATCGTCGCCTTTGTTGCCTTTTCCGGGTGTCTGTGGATCCAGCGTTCATGTTCGTCGTGGTCGGTTTCAAGTACTTCTTCATTTTTTTCTTGCTGCTTGAAGTCGGGACACGCAGGAAGAGCAGGTAGAAAAATAAATGTTCGCTGGGTCGTCGCGACCGAGCAACTGAGCGACGTTGTCGGCCACGTTAATTTGATCGTAGAAAGTGCGTAAGACAGCTTCGGAGCTGTCGTAGGATTTTGTCGTAACCTGCGCAAAAGTTACGACAATTTCGTTTCGAGAATACGGATTTTCTCTCAAAATTGTCGTTCGCATTTTTTTCGGCGCAAGTTCGCTTTGAGAATCCGGCCTCTGACTACGAAGGCACTCTCGCAGGAAACGTGCCTTCGTAGTCAGATTCTGCGCATGCGCCGCTCCGGCGGCCCACCGACGCAAGCCGCGGGAGCCGCCAGGGCCGCCGGAGTACAAAGAGGGCGAAGTTTTGACGCACGCGGTGTGACTGACATGACCTAGCCGACTTCGGCCAGCGTTCGCTTGCGCGCGCGTTACGTCGGAGTATAACAGAGCCTTTAGGGCCTGCGTTAGCGCACGCGACGCAAGAGTTTTAGAATGGCGTTTCTCCGCCGCGACGAAAGAGTCCAAGCATCTTGCGCTTGCAACGCTACCAAGATACAGTCAAAATTTTTATTTCACTGACGAAATGCTGTAACTTGAGAAAAAAACAAGATTTTCGGTTCAGAGTAACATTTTGCATTTGTTTAAACGTGAGACTACGACGCGACCGGTCGACCGGTCGTGTCCGCCGCATCCGTCGCCTCGGCAAGAGCGTACTGACCTTCGTTGTTGATACATGTTCGCTCGTCGCAAGCATCAAGTTGCCGGTGATCGTTGCCAACCCTACTGGGTTTTCCAAACCGAGTGCAATTTCGTCCCGTATTGAAAATCGCAGTCGGGAGGATGCCACCGACGTCGTGCTCACGACGCCACCAAAGCGACCGCAGCAATGGTCCTGGGGGCCGCCATTTTTTTTAACTGTGCTCGACTTGGCTTTAGCCAACTTCTCATCACGATTCCTCTTTGGAGGAGCGCAAAGACCCTTTGCGCACGCACGCTATTTCCGAGAAATAGCGCACGCTAAAATTGCACACGCAAAGCGCAAAACCTGGTTTGCGTTCGGAGCATGCGCAGTGGCGACGACGCTATTCTTTGCGTACGCAAAGCTTTCGCGTGCGCTATTCTAAAACTCCCTTATATTTTGTTGCGATATGTATATGGATTATATTAGGCTGCCCACCAAACAGCTTTGATTGGACGGGATTAATGAAATATATATAACTAAAAAAATGTATGCTTTCATAATGCTATTGATATATGTCAAGAAAGACATATAAAGCACTTCAGTAATCATCACCGTAAATGATCTTTGAAAAAATTAGAACACCTAGTTCTTCTGATCGATAGTGAACGACTCGAGGTTCTTTGTAGTGGTAGATGGATTTCAATCATCGCTACATTATTGTTTTCGAAGTTTAGTGAGGGCTGGTTCACAGAGCAGGTTTCTTATACGTGACGAGGCTTACGTACAATTACAACATCGGGATACCACCACAAGTCACTGCAAAATCCATACGTCGTACGAAGCGGCGCAGTCAGTTAAAACTTGGCACGTGGCACATCTGTCCTTCATATTCTATGCGGATGGTTTTAACTGCTTGCAACGCCTCGTACAAAACATGGGTGCACAAGTGATTTA